CCGAATTTTATTTTCAAAATATTGTTTTTATAATTAAAAAATATTTTTTTAGCTAAATAAATAATTATTTACAATATTTTTCCTTTTCAGTCTATTAATTTTTAAAAATATTAGAGCACAAAAAAATATTTCGTTCATTTGAACGTTCGAAACTTTAGGTAAATGAATGTTCACTAGATTTTATGCAGAATCATTCCAGTGAAATTCTATAAAAATTTGTCACAGGTGTGGCAATAAAAATTGAAAATAATAATCATATTGAATTTGATAATTATCATAATTCTTTTTCCTTGTTTTTTTTTATCATGCCGGGTTTTATAAAAAAATTATTATTAATATTTTATCATTAATGATAATAGTAATAATAAAAATAATAATTAGATTGTTACAAAAAATTCAGTAATAATAATATTATTTTAATTTCAATTCTTTTTTCTTATTATTATTACATTATTAGCTATTACTTTTATTATTAATATTATTATTTTTGTTATTAGTATTATTATCATTACTATTAATACTATATTTTTTTTGTTCAAACCAACTTTATTAATTATTTTGAATTTTGAAATTCTTGATATGAGGTCTGAGACTTAAATAAATAAATAAAATAGATAAATATTTAGACCTTTTTATGAAAACATTATTATTAATATTATCATTAATAATAATATTACTACTATACTGACAATAATAATAATAATAAAAACAAGAAAAAGAAAAAACAAGGAAATAGAATTGAAATTAAAAAAAGATCGATGATCATTATAGAGAGAAAAAAAGAAAAAAAGAAAGAGAGAGAGAGAGAGAATCATATCAGAAATTCTTTACTTTAATTCACGTAAAATCGTACAAATGATGCGAGAGCATGAGAAATGCATACTCAAGCGCTAATTACACCGTAAGTGCTGGGTAATCAGGTTTTTAGGAAATAAAAAAAAATGTCGCGCGGTTTTCTCGCGCTCTCATGCATCGTCACGGACTCGTTGAAAGTTTCATTTTTCATTTCTTGTGCGTTTTTTCTATTTTTTTTCCCCCCTTTTTTTTAACAAGCCCCAATGCTCGTTGTGTGTCCTCCTCTGTAAATAAAAAGAAAAAGCAAGAGAAGTAAAAGACGCGTTTTCATACAAACGGCAGAAGCGGCGCGGCGCGCACACGATGGAAATCTAATGCTTAATACGATATTTTTCTCTACGGCACTTGCCCGGGCTTATGAGAATAATATGCACCGAGCAGAAGGATTTAATCCGCATGAAACACGATGGCAGCAAGGATTAGCCACTGCAATGAGATTCAAGTACAACTCTCGCGCGACGCGTTATGTATATACATAAGCAAGTAGAGAAATTTGTTTTTCCTTCTTTTCTCTTTTTAAAAATATTGTATACATAGAAAAAAAGCATTCACACATTTTTCAAATACAAATCGAATAATATAAACTTATAAACACACCTGAGGCTTTTCTAAAATCTCAGCTTTAGTTACATAGATTGACTGAATTTTATTCTGTTTTGTGTATTTAATAGGATTAGTGACATTCGTCTTTGCTGTACGCACATTACTCTTTGCGCAGTCTCTCTCTCTCTCTCTCTCTCTCTCTCTCTCTCTCTCTCTCTCTCTCTCTCTCTCTCTCTCTCTCTCTCTCTCTCTCTCTCTCTCCTCTCTCTCTCTCTCTCTCTCTCTCTCTCTCTCTCTCTCTCTCTCTCTCTCTCTCTCTCTCTCTCTCTCTCTCTCTCTCTCTCTCTCTCTCTCTCTCTCTCTCTCTCTCTCTCTCTCTCTCTCTCTCTCTCTCTCTCTCTCTCTCTTTATCAAAATTTATGGTTTACTAAAAAAAATTAAACGATGAAAAAAGAAAAAATTGTATTCGATATGAATTTTATTCTGAAAAATATAATCGCAGAAAATAGAAAAATTTTTTATATCTGATTTCAAGTTCTGGAAAATATTCTACACTGAAAAAAATCAATCTTAATCAGAGTTGTGACCAAAATTTTATTTTGCCTTTCCCTGACTTTACAGACCTAATTATTACTTATTTTTCCCTGAATTTACTCTCAAGTATTTTTAAAAATTTCTGTAAAATTTTTAATTATTTTTAATGAAATTTCAGAAAATTTTAATTATGTCAAAAATTTCCATTTACTTTTTTTTTATAAATATTCAATTATTGTTAAAGTAGAAATGAAATTATTTAAAAACCTAATTTTTTTTTAATTTCAAATAAAACGTTTAGAAACTTTAATTTGAAAAAAAAATTAAGTTTAAATCTTTTTAAAATTAACTAAGTAAAAATTTTAACTGTAACTCTTTCAAAATGAAATTATTTTTTGCAGTTTTGCAGAAAAAAGTAAAAATTTCTATATAAACTGATTTTTAGAATTATAGAAAATTTGCTACACTGAAAAAAAATTCAATTTTAATTAGGATTGTGATAAAAATTTTATTTTTTTTTCTCCTAACTTTTCCAGATGTAATTTTTACATTTTTTCTTATCTTTCCCTGAAATATTTTCAAAAATGTTTAAAAACTTCTTAAAAAAAATCAATTACTTTTTCATAGAATTTCAGAAAATTTCAATTATTTCCAAAATTTAAAACCACTTTTTTTAGAAATTTTCAATTATCTTTAAACAATAGAAATGTAAGGAATGACGTAATTTTAATTTTATTCTTGATTCTTCCCTAAAATATTCTAAAAAATTTTAGTAAAATTCTTTAAAAATTCAATAAATTTTGAACCCAAGGCCACAATATAAAAAATTTTATTTGACAAAAATTAAGGTCCTGAAAACATTCTACGTTAATAAATTTTAATGAAATTTCAGAAAATTTTAATTATGTCAAAAATTTCCATTTACTTTTTTTTTATAAATATTCAATTATTGTTAAAGTAGAAATGAAATTATTTAAAAACCTAATTTTTTTTTAATTTCAAATAAAACGTTTAGAAACTTTAATTTGAAAAAAAAATTAAGTTTAAATCTTTTTAAAATTAACTAAGTAAAAATTTTAACTGTAACTCTTTCAAAATGAAATTATTTTTTGCAGTTTTGTAGAAAAAAGTAAAAATTTCTATACAAACTGATTTTTAGAATTAAAAAATTTTTCTACACTGAAAAAAATTCAATTTTAATCAGGGTTGTGACGAAATTTTTAATTTGTCTTTCCCTGACTTTCCAGACTTAATTTATACTTTTTTTTTAAAAATATTTTAGAGAAGATTCGAATCTTCTCTAAAATATTTTTTAAAATTTTAATGTAATTCTTAAAAAATTCAAACATTTTTAATAGAATATTTTAAAAAATTTCAATTATTCCAAGTATTTTAAACTCCTTTTTTTTAGAAATTTTTAATTATCTTTTAACAATAGAAATGTTAAAAATGAAGTAATTTTTATTTTTTTCCTGATTCTTTCCTTAAATATTCTTAAAAATTTTAATACAATTCTTTAAAAATTCAATAATTTTCAATGAAATTTCAGACAATTTCAATTACTTTTTTTATAAATATTTAATTGTCTTTAAACAATAGAAATAAAATAATTTAAAAAACTAATTTTTTTAGAATTTCAAATAAAACGTTTGGAAACTTTAATTTAAAAAAGTTTTGAGTCAAATGTTTTTAAAATCTATTGAAATTCTCTAACAAATTTAATTATTTTTATTAAATTGTCACAAAATGTATTAAATAAAATGAAAATATTATTCATTAAAATTGTTTTAAAAATTCAAGAACAATAATTGACTTAAAATTTCTCAGAAACTTAATTTCTTCAAAATTTGAAATAAAATTATTTAAAACTGAAATAATGTTCTAAATAAGTATTGAATTATTAATTTTTTTCTTGAATTGAAATTTTAAAAAATGTTAGTTTAAAACCTTCTGGAATTCAATTATCCTTTGAAAATTGTAAATTTCTACAATTAAAATCTCTTCTAAGTTCATTATAATTAATAACATAAAGAAAGTTATATTAGAATTTACATAAATATTTTAAATACACAATATTTTTATTACTTACAGAAATTTGAATTGAATTAAATTGAAATTAAACTAAAATTTCTATTCTCTTAAGTTTATAAATAGGTTGAAGCAAATTAACATTATTATTCGACTTAAATAAAAATTAATCATCTTAAAATTAAATAAAAGTTATTCAACTTGAATACAAATTTTTCCATGTAAATAAAAAGTTATTTGATATAAATTTAACATTGTTTGCAAAAAAAAGAAATTTGAGAAAAAAAGAGAAAAATCTTTTTCAGCCAAAGTAAAATGAAGAAAATAAATTTTTTCTCTCCAATTCAGAATGCTTAAAGAATCCTTTTTTAACTGAAAAATTCTCAAAGTCTTATTTTGAAAAAGGGATTAATTGACGTGCTTTCATTGGTGTGCAATAACTTTTAGAATCTTTTGAAGAGAGAGATAGAGTGAGAAATGCTCTGAATTCATTTCATTATCATCGATATTCGATTCTTATTCAAGGGGAACTTTCGTCATATATTTGCACCTCATTAAATAAATATTCAGAAAACTAAGAAGTGAAACCTTTTCTTTTTTTTGGCAAATTTTCAAAAAGCTAGATTCTTTTCACTTAAAAAAATGTAAATGTTACTTTCTAAATTTAAATAAGTTAAAAATAACTAATTATTAGTAAAAATTCACTTTTGGCTTATGTCAAAATAACCAAAATTTTTAGTAACTAAATCAATTAGTCAAATTTGACTAATTTTTTCTATTAATAATTAGTTATTTTCTACTAATTATTAGTTATTTTTTTATTAATAGTTAGTAATTTTCTACTAATAATTAGTAATTTTTTATTTATAATTAATAATAATTTAACTACTTTCGTATTTATTTATTTATATTTACTAATAATTAGTAATTTTCTACTAATGACTAACCGTAATTCAGATTTAGAGGTGTAAAGAAAAAAGAAGTAATTTTCCGTACCATAATTACTAAAAAGTTAACTAAATTCAATTTTTTCTTTGCAGAAATCGTTAAAGAACGTGAGTGAAGTCAAAAAAAGAAAAGAAGAGAAAAAAGAGAAGAAGAGTGTTGGAAAGACGAATGGCTGGAGACACGTGAGTCCGAGAGGAAGAGAGAGAGAGAGAGAGAGGAAGTGGTTTAGAAGCGCACCGAGAAAAAGAGTCCAAAAAAAAGAAGAAGAAGGCACAAGAGTTAAAACCGGATGACAAGTGAGTGGTTGCAGCATAAGCTGAAAGACAACTAAACGAATTTAACACCTGAAAAATTTAATTTTCCCTCTTTTCTTCTTTATGCAGTATACATAATTTATATTCTATTTTTTATTCTTAATTTTTAGCCATTGTTTTTCAATAACTAATAACAATAATCGCTCATCAAATAAACTATAAATAATCGTAATCCAATAACATTTAATTAATTTAAATGGAAATTATTTGATTCAAGTAAATATTTAGTTGATAATAGACAAGTAATCGGTTATTTGAATCAAATGATTTTTTTCCATATTCGTCACAGAACTTACTCAATTAAATTACTTAACCAAATAAAATTTGTTTGAACGAACTAATATTTATTTGAACGATCAAAAATTTTCTGAATAATTTATTCGAGATAAATAAAATTTCCTACAATCGAAGATCATTGTTACATGAACTAAATAAATTTTACTGCAATCAAAGATTAATTTATTTCAACCAAATAAAATTTGTTATAACTAACTAAGATTCATTTAAAACATACAAAATTTCCTGGAGCCAAAGAATAATTCATTTGAAGCAAATAAAATTTTCTGCAATCAAAGAATAATTTATTTGAACCAAATAAAATTTTTTGCAGCAAAGAATAATTCATTCAAGTCAAATAAAATTTTCTGCAGTCAAACATTAAATTACTTGAACCAAAGAAAATTTTCTACAATCGAAGATTAATTTACTAGAACTAAATAAAATTTGTTTCATTGAACTAAAATTTATTTAAACGATACAAAATTCCCCGAAGCAAAAAAAAAATAATTTATTCGAGTCAAAAAAATTTCCTGCATTCAGAAGTTAATTTACTAGAATCAAATAAAATCTTTTGCAATCCAAGATTAATTTACTTGAACCAAATAAAATTTGTTACAACTAACTAAAATTTATTTGAACGATACAAAATTTCCTAGAGTCAAAGAATAATTTCTTCGAGTCAAATAAAATTTTTTAGAGCCAAAGAATAATTTATTTGAAGTGGATAAAATTTCCTGCAATCAAAAAATAATTTACTTTAACCAAATAAAATTTCCTGCAGCCAAAGAATAATTTATCTGAACCAAATAAAATTTTGTGCAGCCAAGGAATAATTTATTCGTGTCACATAAAATTTCCCGCAATCAAAGATTAATTTACTTGAATCAAATAAAATTTTCTATAATCAAAAAAACAATTTATTTGATATATAAATAAAATGTTCTCCAATTAAAGATTAATTTACTTGAATCAAATAAAATTTTCCGCAGCCAAAGAATAATTTATTCGAACCAAATAAAATTTCCTTGAGCAAAAGAATAATTTATTTGAAGCAAATAAAATTTCCTGCAATCAAAGAATAATTTATTTGAATCAAATCAAATTTCCTGCAGCCGAAGAATAATTTATATCTGAACCAAATCAAATTTCTTGCATCCAAAGAATAATTTATCTAAACCAAATAAAATTTTCTGCAGATAAAGGAATAATTTATTCGATCAATTTACTTGATCCAAGTAAAATTTTCTGCAATCAAAGATTAATTTACTTGAACCAAATAAAATTTTAAGCAGCCACAGAATAATTTATTCGAACCAAATAAAATTTCCTTGCAGTCAAAGTATAATTTATTCGAACCAAATGAAATTTCCTGCAGTCAAAGTATAATTTATTCGAACCAAATAGAATTGTCTGCAGCCAAAGAATAATTCATTTGAACCAAATATAATTTATTTCATACAGATAAATAATTTACCAGCCTCTCGGTTAAATATTTCTTCGAGTTTAATCATAATAAAACATTATTTTTATCTCAGAATTTTCAGACATTCTTCTTCTATACCTAATAATAAAAAATAATTTTTCATCATTTTTTTCAAACCGTAATTAGTGGTATAAAAAAATAGACCGTAAAAATCGTCAGACATCAAAAATTAATTACTAGAATTTTTCTCTGATTTCTCTCGTTAAAAATTTTGTTTTAATTAAAAATTTCCCCCCCCCCAAAAAAAATGAATAGAGAAATATAATATTTGAATATCTCCGAGGGAAATAATAATGAAGAATAGTTTGTTGGATACAAATGACGTATCTTTCAATGAAGAGGTTTTGCTATTATAATGCAGAGAAACGTGAATTCAGGGGTTTCTGTTTGGAAGTGTTAGAAACCTAACGTAACTATTAGAAACTGAGTTTGAAAGCGAACACACCCACACTCACACACACAGACACAAATTCAAACTCGCGATAGTACCCCCAAACGCCGTTGCATTGTAAGTGAATGCAAGCCACGAGGCCAGACAGCGAGCCAATCATTCCGGCATTGTTAAGCCAGGATACGAACCCATTTATAGAGAATCTATACATTATGGCTTATCAAACAATAATTCGGTAAGCTTCCAGGCGCCATTCGAGAAAGGATGCTCTGTGTGTGTGTGGGTGTTTACACGTACACAAATATAGAGAGAGAGAGGATAGTATATACACATACAAATGTGGTGTACACGCCTCGGACTATGGTTCCACTGAATTTAATGATCCCAGCGTCCGCGCAAGGAACAAAAGCCATTGCAAGTCCAAAATAACCATCTTATTCAAGTATAAATTCCGGACGTGAAGATTAACGATAGCCACTTTCATTCTATCACTTAATTGGCTGTGATCGTTCAAACGTCTCAAACTAAAATTTAAATGGTCCGTCAAAATTGCGCATTGAAAATATTTGTCAAGCTAAAGGAAGAAGATAAGTGGATAATCCTGATTTATATCCGAATAGTTCTGATATGAAACATTTAGAATTTCCAGACAATTGTCTCCTTAAAATCTATTTTGGTTTCGTGAAAATAAAAATGTAAAAAAATGTATTTTTAAAAATAATTTACACTTTCATTTCTACTTTCATTTTCACATTCACTTTCATTTCTACTTTCATTTTCAGATTCACCTTCATTTCTACTTTTATTTTCACATTCACTTTCATTTCTACATTCATTGTCATTTATACTTTCATTTCCATTTTCATTTCCACTATCATTTTCATTGTCATTTATACTTTCATTTCCATTTTCATTTCCACTTTCATTTTCATTTTCACTTATCATTTCTACTTTCATTTTCAGATTCACTTTCATTTCTACTTTTATTTTCACATTCACTTTTATTTCCATTTTCATTTATAATTTCTACTTTCATTTCCATTTTCATTTCCACTTTCATTTTCATTTTCACTTATCATTTCTCCTTTCATTTTCACACTCACTCTCATTTATACTTTTTTCACTTTCATTTTCATTTCTACTTTCATTTTCACTTTCATTTTCACTTTTATTTCCATTTTTATTAGATTTTTAACTTTATTTTTATTCTATTAACTTCATTCCTTTATTTTGTCCTCAAAGATTAGGTACTTATGTAATTTCATTTCCAGTTTCATTGATTTTATTTTTTCAGAAAAATGAAAACCTTTACTCAAAAAATTCTTACTTTGACTCAAAAAATATTTACATTCATTTAAAAAATTCTCACTTTTACTCAAAAAAATTTGACTTCACTCAAAAATGTCAAGTTTTAGTCCAAACATTTCGCTTTCTCTAAAAATTCTTACTTTCACTTTCACTCAAAAAATTTTTACATTTCTTAAAAGAATTCTCACTTTCACTAAAAAATTGTTGATTTCACTCAAAAATAATATTCACATTCAGTCGAAAAAAAATTTCACGTTCCCTAAAAAATTCTTATTTTCACTTTTACTCAAAAAAAAGTCACTTTCAAATTCACTAAGAAAACTTTCACATTCATTTGAACAATTCTCACTTTTACTAAAAAAAAAAATTTGACGTCACTAAAAAAAATTTAGTTTGAGTAAAAAAATTTCGCTTTCCCTAAAAAATTCTTATTTTTATTTTCATTCAAAAAATTGTCACATTCCTTAAAAGAATTCTCACTTTCACTAAAAAATTGTTTACTTCATTCAAAAAATTATCACTTTCACTCAAAAAAGAATTCGACTTCACTCAAAAAAGTTCAGTTTCAGTCAAAAAATTTCGTTTTCCCTAAAAAATTCTTACTTTCACTTTCACTAATAAAAATTTTCACATTCCTTAAAAGAATTCTCACTTTCACTAAAAAATTGTTGATTTCACTCGAAAATAATATTCACATTCACTCAAAAAAATTTCACTTACCCTAAAAAATTATTATTTTTACTTTTACTCAAAAACTTTCTCATTCCTTAAAAAAATTCTCACTTTCACTAAAAAAATGTTGACTTAGCTCAAAAAATTATCACTTTCACTCCAAAAAGAATTCGACTTTATTAAAAATAGTTCAGTTTCAGTCAAAAAATAATAAATAATATTTTTTTCTAATAATAATAATAATAATAATTATTATTATTATTTTTCCACAGGAATTAAGATTTTAAAAAATCTTAAATTTCAAATTCTTTGAGATTTAATAATTTATATAAGAAATTGCTACTGTAACTTCTTCAAAATGATTTTCAAAATTTCAATTCAATTATTTTCTACAATTTTTAACTAAAATTCTTCTCTAATTCAATTATTTTCAATCATTTTTTAGAAAGTTTCTTAAGAATTTAGTTAATGAAAGTAAGAATAAAAATAAAAGTAAAAATGAAAATAAAAATAAAAATGAAAATGAAAGTAGAAATTATAAATGAAAATGAAAATGGAAATGGAAATGGAAATGAAAATGAAAATGAAAATGAAAATGAAAATGAAAATGAAAATGAAAATGAAAATGAAAATGAAAATGAAAATGAAAATGAAAATGAAAATGAAAATGAAAATGAAAATGAAAATGAAAATGAAAGTGAAAATGAAATTACATAATTAACATCCATGAAATTTTGTGCAATTGTCGAGCATAATTTTTTCATTTCAAGAAAAATTTCACCTACAGAATAAACAAAAAAATGTCACTTTCAAATTCACTCAAAAAACTTTTTCATTCCTTAAAAAAAT